ACCACCACGCCTGGTGATCTCACGACTACCACCACGCCTGGTGATCTCACGACTACCACCACGCCTCACACTACCACGACCGGTGAAAGGACTGCTGCGAGCACGTACAGTCAAGATGCCTCCACCACGAGACACGACGAGGATGACACGAGCAGCACGACCACGACCGACGGCCACATCATCCCGCCTGCTCCCGTGCCCGCCACGGACGGAGGTTCTAACACTGGTACCATCGCGGGTGCGACGGCCGGCTCTGTGGCTGGTGTTGCGGCTATCGCCGCCGGTCTTTACAAGAAGTTCGGTCTTGGCGCCTTCCGTAAGAATAACGGTCCCGAACTCGGCGCCGTGGAGCAAGTAGAAACCCCGGAGACTCCCGTCGAGCGCGAGGCATACGAGGAGGTCACCATGGACATGTTCCAGTAAACTATGTCACCCGTGCATCAATGAACACACACACCGGAAATTCCGGTCTTGCCTGGTAAGCAGGTCTGTCGGGTAAGCGGGCCCACTCTGTAAGCTAAGCCGGTCAACGGTTTGGTGAAGACGAAATGGGCTCCTAGCAAGCGGAGTCCGACTCGAGGACTCTGTCTCTTGCGCGAGCTTAAGTTGCAGGTACACACCCAGTTTTTTTTAAGTAGCTAACTCTAACCCGTTTTTGAGCTACTCCGGAGAGGGTACGCCTCTCTCTGTCTCCCAAAAAATAAAAAAAAACACTTTCATGAGCAGTAGCAAAACTTCTTCTGAAGGGGGGGGAGGAGAGGGCCCGAGTTCTCTCCCACATTGGGAAAGGGTTCTCGCTTTGGGTATGTGTCCGAGGTTGCCAATGGTGTTTGTGTTGATCAGCTGGTGGGTTCACGACTAGTGGGTGAAAATGGGTGGTGGGATAAAAAGCAGTTAGTCGGCATCTTGTTCTTGTGCGATCGTGGCGATTCTTATCACCTTGTTGCGGAGGCTATTTGTTCGTCGTTCCTCCGCTTTGACCATGGTAGGTGGTACGGGTACAGCGACGAGGGTAAGTGGTACTTCGCGTGACGGCAAAATCCAGACGGGTAGTGCGTCATAGGTGTTAAGAACTAGTTCGTATCCGTCGGCCCAGTGGATGGTGCAGGATGGTGGTGATTGTGGATCATCATCATCATCATCTTCAGGGAGATTGGCGACAGTGTAGTGAGTAGGTAGTGTAACTTGTTCGAGATGTTCTTTACGTATTTTTCGGAATGGTCGTGTCGTATTGCCTGACGCACAGACCTCAAACTCGATCCGGACTTCGGAGTGGATGTCGGGCAGGTGTATCTTGATAGAGCGATCAGAAATGAGTTCAACGGTGCTGGTAGTGAACACTGGCTTAGGTTGGTCAGCCAGGAACATTAGCAGCCACGAATCGCTCGCTCGTTCGCTGGCCCTTTTCGCACGTATCCGCACATCATTGATCTGATCCAATACATCTTGTGTGTCTGTCCCGTCAACTCGGGCGAGAGCGTCTTCGTCCTCATAGGGATTTTCGGAGAGGTGGCAGAAACGCCCCATATACTCACCCAGAAGGTCAGGGTCTCCAGTACCTCGCCAGTCGCTGCCATCGTTTCTAGCCCGTTGTTCCAAGAGCAACACCAGAGTCAACTGTCGGTGCACAAGCAGGTCTGCATACCGGCGGATAGGTGATGTGAAATGGGCGTATTGATCGAACCCAAGCGCGAAGTGATGACCGTGTGTCCGTGCAGCATATCGGTAAACTGCCTGTTCTAAGTTGATAATGACCAAGTGCTCGACGAAAGATGCTAGCCTTGGAGACGTCTTAGCCGCCACTCGCTTGAGCAGCGCCGCTACGCTTGTGGCCGTACCAAAATCCGCCAGAGCCAGCGGCAATTTTGGGCAAATTTCGGCAATCCTCTTGCACAACTTGAGCGCCTTCAGCTGTTTTATCGACGGATGAACGCGAAGCACGCCCCAGTCAGCCAGAGGCGAGGCCGCAATCCGCTCGGCCACCCGACAGTTGGCCAACAGCATGAGTTCTTCGATCATCCAATGTGACGCGGAGTGTGATTCCTCGGCAATGTACTCAGGTTTGCCATTCTCTTTACACAGAAATTTAAGCTGCAGAGATGAGAGGTGGACGGACCCGGCGGCGAATCGATCACGCCGTAGCTGTTTGGTCAGTTTGTGCAACACCAATAGGTCCTTTTTTAAAGTAGATAAACTGAATTCGCATTGGACGGATGCAAATGAACCTTGCACATTAACTTGATTTACCAGCCCGCGGCCCTTGGTTGTTGTATTAACTTCCTGGAAGGGTGTGAGAGCCTCCTCTACCTCTTGATCTGCTATAGGGATCTCGCTGTTCAAAAAGTCTTGTACTTGGTCATAGTTAAGACGACACTTATTTTTTACTATCGACTTAAGAAACTTCGGACTGTATACATGCTCTGTATCCTTCACTGGTTGCAACGTCTTCTTATCGAAGTAAGTCAAAACCGTGAACGCCAGCTTATCGCCAGAAGGATCAATAGAACATAATTCTTGACACACGGCTTGTGGTAACATATGCCACGCTTTGCTCGGGAAATAAACAGTGGTTGTACGTTTTTGAGCTTCCAAATCAGGTGGAGATCCGGGTGATATAACAAATGATACATCCGCTATATGGATGCCTACCTCCCAAACAGTACCCAAATCTTTAACATGAATTGCATCATCGAGATCCCTTGCTGTTTCAGGATCGATTGAAATGACATTTCGGTTTCTCAAATCCTCACGTGGCAGACCTGCGGTAAATTCATCCCAGACGTCTCCGCTATGCAAGCCAGTGTTACGACCACCAGTAAGCTCATCTACATGTTTCCGTATCATTACTACTCTTTCCTCAGCCCATTCGTCTACCTGGTCTGGAGGTGGCTTGGCCCAATCGTCCAACTCAAATGCCTCTAATGCAGCCAAGGTTTCATACTTAGTTTCTAAACAGTCCCCTGCATACTCTATCACCTCACCAAGAGGCAACCGACTTTTAACTTTCCAGTCTACAAAACGCAAACAAAACACGGCAAATTCCGGCAGCTCAGAACTTGACTCTAAATGTTTATGAAATTTATTCATAAAGTCTCTCTGTGATATTAAGAACCATGGATACTTCTTATCTACAGGTACACCACGAAATACCATGTCCTCAGGATATATCCGTAACTCATCTTCAATCCTTCCTGATACACTATACCGATTGTTCCGTATAACGCAATGAATAGGTAATTTCGTCCTCTGGACTACTCCGACAATAACTCCCCATGGATTCGTCTCTCCCTCACCGGGAGATTGAACCCATTGATTACGAGGAAGTATTTCCACATACACATGATCTCCATGAATAGCTCTATTCCTCTTAACCCCTTTAATGAAAATGTCAGCTGATGTAATTCCATCATCTGATGTAATTCCATCATCTGATGTAATTCCATCATCTGATGTAATTCCATCATCATCATCATCATCATCATCAGAAGAAGAAGAACTTGGAAGCATATACGGCGCCAACACTTTCACAAATCCATCAGACACACATTTCGGATTTACCCACAAAATACCCTAAACAAACATTCGACAATAATAACCTAGTTACCATAACCCTCATAACCTCAGTAATCTAATAACCCTAAATCTTATACCTCAATAATATGCGCTTCAACAAGACGGTCCTTGGAGTAATATTCGAAGAAAGAAGTCATAAGGAAATTCACGACCGGAACTTTATTATTTTTGGCAGCAAAGTCTCACCCAGGGAGTAAAGCATCCTTCTATACATAAACCCACTACCAACTCATAACATTAAGAACCAACAGTCAATCATCGTTCTGGTGAATGAGGGTGACACCTGTCATACACAGGGTGAGGGTGTCAGGGTATCTGCAGGGAACGGCACATAGATAGAGATACCCATTTTTCAACATTCCTCGAGGTCGAAAGGTCGAAAGGTTTCTTGTGGTCGAAAAAGTTTGACGAAGAAGATTATTTGAAGAATCTGGAATAACACGTGAACGCGAAATAACAGGTTCAAGAAGGAAGCGTGAGTTAGACATGAAGACCCCTCGGTGCCTTCAAACCCGTTTCTATGTGCCCACAAATCGGAGTGGAATCCTCGAGGGTATGACCACGGGATTTCAAGGGGCCATCAAGCGCCGAACCGGAGATCCAAATGGTGAAAACAGTGGGGGTCAGAACAACGGTGAAAGAGGCAGCTTGACCGCAAACGGCTTGACCACAAACGGCTTGACCACAAACGGCTTGACCACAAACGGCTTGAACGTAGACGACTTGAGCGTAGACGCGGAAAAAATTGGACACAACTTTAGTGCTGAACGCAGTAGCCGTGGGGCATCTAGTTCCACCGCTGGACCATATAAGTGGAACTCGCGTGGATCGTTGGTTATCAATGAAATGAAGTTAAGAATTCAAGTCCTTCAGTCCAGCATTCTGGAGAAGCAGATAGTTATCTCCAAACTGCATTTGTAACCGACACGGCTGGTTCCTCACCCGATGTTCACGGTTCCGGCGTCCACCAGCCTCGTGGATGTTTTATAACTGTGATTTTGGCAGATGGCACGAAATGATGCAGCGCCGAATTTTGGGTGTGGCAGGGTCTAAACGGAGTGACTTTGTTAACTACTCATTAAGCGCTTACCCCGGGCGTTGCCTACAGGTTCAAGGGGACGGTAAGATTCCCTTCATTCTACTAAAGCCGATTGGCCGAGGAGGATTCAGCGTTGTCTGGGAAGTGATTGACACGATCCACTGCGAGCGTCTTGCCGCCAAGTTTACTAACTATCCGACAGATAAACAGGAGTCCTTTCAGGACGGAGTGCAAGCCGCTACTGATTGGTTGAACAAATGCTTCACGCGCGAGGTGATGATTCTCACTAATGAGAAACACCCGAATGTACGTAATTATGCACAACTGTGTGTGCACACACATTTTATGATTGTGTTTCAGTTGCTACGATTGTACTACCATTTTCGATGGCGCATAAACTATGCTTCTTTGTTTGGAACGGCTTTAGTGTACGAGTTATGTGCATACGATTTGGGCAGTTGGTTATCTCGGGTACCACTTGCGTCTCGACGATTGAGTCAGATGTTCGGTTGGCTGAAGGAGTTGTTGCAGGGCTTAAAGCGACTGCACACCGAGAGGCATGTGGTTCATATGGACATTAAGCCTCAGAATATTCTAGTCAGTCGTGACGAGTGCTTGAAAATTTCGGATTTCGGGTTGCACCTCGTTCTCGAAGAATGTGGAACACAGCAATACCAGGCGCAGGTGCCGATGCATATGAGCTGCAATTGGAACGGCTCAATTTTGTACCAACCACCGGAGCATCTGGCCGCAATAGTTTCTTTGAAAGAGGATTATTCGTTAGACGCTCGATACGACATTTGGTCGACGGGTTGCGTCGCGTTTGAAATGTTTTCCGAAACATCACTCTTTCGACACTTCACTCTCAGCTCTACTGAGCAACGGCTTGACCTGTACCGACAAGTCCATGACTACCTAAACGCCTTGGACATTGACTCGTTCGTTGACCAACATGTTGCCCATCTCGGTGCTCGCAAACTGATCAAGGAGCTACTACGACTCAGACCCGTAGGAGACGCTGCCATACTGCTGGTCGAGAAATGTAGTTTAATGCCGCCATCGACAGATGAAGATACATAATCAGTCAACCTAAGCACACCAAGGCAACAGCTTAAAGGTGACGCAACAGCTTAAAGGTGGACCATTGACCCGCGGACCATTAATCAAGACCGTCCTGATCAGACCCCCCAGTCAAGCGATAAATAATTTTCCAAAAATATAGCCCGGGGGAACCAACATCAAATGAGACGATATAGATCGGAATCGGTGTCGTCGAGGTCTTCGGAAGGACGGGGAAAGGGACGTGGAGGACGTGGCTATTACCGTGGTAGCGGTCGACTTGCCCGCGGTGGTGCTAGTAGTCGTGGCCAAGCGGGAACCGGCCGACGTCGAGGTGGGATGAGTCGGGGCGGTGGAGGACAGCGCGGGCTCCATCGTCGAGATAGCACGGCCAGCGAGCGGTCGCAGATGAGTGGTGCTTCTGCTTGCGAAGGTGCTCTGTTGCGTTCTGGCAATAATAGGACCGAGCGTCGTGGGCTTAAGGAGACCCACAAATTCACGGACATGGCCGACCGGAATCGAGATGACCGGAATCGAGATGACCGGAATCGAGATGACCGGAATCGAGATGACCGGAATCGGGACGAACAAGTTCGGGACGGTGGTGGTTCCTTGTTATCCGTTAATCCCAAGTACACGTCCGATGAGAGTTGGTTTTTACAGTCCGGTCTACTTCAGGAGTTGCCTCCAGAGCGTGCCCGTCTCGCAACTAATAAGAGTGATGCTGCGCATAAGAGTGATGCTGCGCAGCATTTGGGTGCGAGCGGATCACATCCCGATGAGTTCGATTCGCTTTATTGGGAATGGGAAGCTCGTAACTTCGGGCAAGGTTTGGACAGAGACAGTCTGGTGCTATTGTTTCGAATGCAGTCAGCCCAGTACATATTCAGAATCGTGGAGGAGTTCCTGGCTCTAATAAAGAGCCCTACAGTCTCGCTTGAGGCGTGTCAACAACTCGTGAGGCAACTCAATATCGGCAGCTATCAACTCTATCAAGTTCCAACTGTCGAGATGCTGTATGGACTCCAACGCATCGTCTACTTAATCGTCAACGCGATGCTCGATCGGTATCAGAGCCCTAAGTTCCGAGGAGACATCATCTACGAGCTATTACATAACACGCTTATGCGGTATCTCATTATCAACGCCGAAGCTCCTGTCTTCAGGAACTCCGCCGGCGACCTTGCCAGCGGCGACGCTCTCAACAAGGAGACTCTTAGCGACGCAAAGGCGACTCTCGCTGAGGACCGTAGTGAGTACCTGAATGAGGACCGTAATGAGTACCTGAATGAGGACCGTGATGGCGACCGTGGTGGTGAGCGTGGGGGTGACCCGGATGACGACGAGGGTCGGCAGTGTCAGGACGGGGAAGCTGATCGCGCGTGTGAGGAAAGGTCCGGCGACGAGTGCGTGAAGGACTTTAGGGCAGACGAGACGGTGGATGTTGTGTTGCTGTCGGACGCGGTGGTTTCGGACGCCTTGTTAACGGAGGCGATTGTTTCCGAGTCGATTGTTTCCGGGGCGATTGCTTCCGAGGCGTTACCATCGGTTCCGGTGCAAGGTATGGATGAGGTGGCGGCGGTTCCATTGATGGATGCGTCGATTCCGTTTGTTGACGAGGAGAGTGTGGCGAGTGAGCGGGCGCGGATGCGTGGTGTGTTGAATTCTGGTGCCTTGGCTGGTCATTTCCCGAGGGTGACTCGTGAGGAGCGTCAGAGTGTGTGCGATCGTGTGTTGGAAAGAATGCCATCTTCTGCATTATATTTGACAGGTTGGTTCCATCGTCGGCAATGGGATTTAGAACGTGATCTGGAGGTTAGCGGTCTGTTCCGCAGTAATGATTTCAGTGTGACGGAGACATTAGACTTGCTAAAACGTTTGGAAAATTTTGGACGTAAGGATGAATCTAATCGTGTGGCAGAAGAAGTACAAAAGATTGTGGAGAATTATTTGGGGGTAGAGTTACGGTTATATGGTTCGAGTGCAACAGGATTAGCAACTGGACATAGTGACTTTGACTTTCAGATGATCTTACAAGACTGTGCTAAGTCTAAGAAATGTCATAAAGTTTGTCGGTGGATAGACTTCGAGAGTGTGGCCTACGCTAATCTAAGTCTGGATGTATCGAATACTACGGGTTATGTTCGTACAGTAGTCAAAGCATTGACTTCCCATCTCGAACGAAAACATAAAGAAGATTATACAGTGTCTGCTATTTTAACGGCTAAGAAGCCTTTGGTGAGTTTGCAGCATATTGATACAGGCGTTAACGTTGATATCTGTGTTAGTCTGAACGTTGTTGGGCTCTGTAATTCGGCCCTTTTGAAGAATTACGTAAAGCTTGATTCGCGATTTGCACAACTTGCAATACTTGTAAAAAATTGGTCGAAGAATCGAAGGGTTAACGGAGCCTACCATGGACATCTGTCTAGTTATACTATCACTCTTACTGTCCTAATCTTCCTTATTAAACAAGGAGTCCTTCCTAACATTCAGATGCCCGATGACATCTACTGTCACGTTCTGGAATCCATTAGAACGTCGGTTCCAAAAAAAAATCGCGACCGCAAACAACACTTGGAGCAAGTATCCTACGAAGCGAAGTATGGACTACTGCAACCACTAGAATATTACCAAAGGAACTTCTCCGTAACCGACGAACGGTTATGCGAGAACCCCACTATAACCTTCGAGGAAACTCCCTGGTCTAATTGGAGGTCAAAAAATACCGCCACATTACCTGCATTATTCTCCGAATACATAAGATACATGCTTTTCGGAGTCAAATGGTTCACTGAAATTCTAAGCCCACGCTGCGCACCATTTCCGCTATCAAAAGTGGAACTTCTCATCAACCATAACGCTACTAATCATGGACAATATATTGGGCCCCAACCTCTGAGAAAGAAGAAGAATTCATCGATTATAGAATCTCTTGACCGAGTACCTTTCGATAACTCACGCATTACTGGTTTCCTCTATGATAACCAAAAATTGCCACCTACTAACGTTTATGACTGGTTCTACCATCATCCAGCTCATAGTGTCGCGGAGTAAGCATACAATATCACCCCACCGATGTTTAATATCACCCCACCGATGTTTAATATCACTACCGATGTTTAATATCACCCCACCGATGTTTAATGTGATTGTTATTTTAGGAATGTGCAGATGTCCGATCATTCGTATAATCTATTCAGTATAACAGTAGAGTGTCCGACTGAGTCAGGTCGTTTGTTACAGACGCGGTATCCGATGCAGTTGCACTTACATCTTGAGGTGATACGTGCGTATGCTGAGATGAAATGTGGTTGTTATAACTTAGAAAATATCTTGCGGGAATTTCAGTCGCCGGATGCTGGTGAGGTATCTAAGAGCTACCGTTTGGATTGTTGGGGTGAGGTTTGTGCGGATTATCGTAAGTTGAAGCCGCGGAATTCTCTGCCTGAAGTTTTAAATTATATTGGTTCGAAAATCCATGATTTGGAGTACAATGCTTCGATCCGGGGACCTTTGGAAGAGGAATCATTTGGATTGGAAAAGGGTGGCTCGTATGACGCCGCCAAGCGGGAAGGTCGCGGTGTTCGGAGACATCATGTGGCAATGCACGGAGCAGATACGGGCGAGTTGGAAGAGGGGTTCGGCAAAACCGGCGAGTTCGGGGACCAATTCACAGACCAGCCCTTCGCGTCGAACCAGCCGTTCGCGTCGAACCAGCCGTTCGCGTCGAGCCAGCCATTCCTGTCACAACGAGTAGATCACCTCGGCGATGCGCTAAGTCAGACACACATTCAAGATGCCCTCAAGCTCACCCGACAACGCGTGGAGAATGAAAGGCGGAAAGAAGAGGAATTGAAGGAGAAGAACAAACTGGTAGCGCAAGTCGCGGAGGCGCAACGCCTTTATGAGGAGGCTGTCCAACATAAAATCATGTACGACGAACTACACATTCCTCTGCCTGACGACATGCAAAAAATATTAGACCAGGGTCTACCAATAACGGACCAGACTCCCCCTGTTGCAGGGACGTGTCCAGACAAGTGGGCCGACAGTCCAAAGTGGGATGCTCGGCGCTGGGACGATCCCGAGGCCCGGGGAGATGAGCTGGACTTCGACTATGTTGTTGGCGATCAGCCGGAAGAGAGCAGGGAACTCGACTTGAGGGGACTCGACTGCGGTCGAGACGCCCGTTCACGACTTAAGTCGTCGTCGGGACCCAAGTCGGGGCCCAAGTCGTCGCCAGTACCCAAGTCGTCGTCTGGGCCTCACTCCACGGCCTGGGAGTCCTTGGGACGGAGTGGAAGCCCCATAGATTTAAAGCGTGCCATGAAATGTGCCGATGAACCTGAGGTCCATGACCGTGAGGTCCATGACCGTGAGGTCCATGACCGTGAGGTCCAAGCGGTCGATAATAGGAAGGATAATAATCCCCGCAAACAAAAATGGGTCGAGGACGATCGTGGTAGCGACCAAGAGAGTTCCGGAGAGTGGAAGTGTGCCGAAAGGGGACGCGGTGAAAGAACTCGAAAGGACTATCGATGGGCGCCATCCGCTGCCATTTCTCCCGAGGAGGGTTCCTCATCCTCCGATCCTAGGGCACCCAGTCGATCGAGTCAGTCGCCTTCCAAGCGGAGCGCAGAAGAGCCACAACGCAACGGGAGTCCTCATGATCCAAGTCTTCATAACCGAAAATCTCATGGTCCAGGTCCGAACGACCGTCGTTTTCTGGACTCGATGTACCAGCGCTATCTGGAAGAAAAGTTTGTCAGGGACGGTGAAGACAGATATAGTCGTAGCGCTCGTCGTAGCGACTATGGAGATTCCGATAACGCTGAGAAGCATTTGGAAGACAAGTATTCAAGCAAGTGTGCAGGCAAGTGTGCAGGCAAGTGTGCAGGCAAGTATGCAGGCAAGTATGCAGGCAAGTATGCAGACCCAGCATATGCGGAATATGTAAATAGGCACTTGGAAGACAAATATGCGACCAAGTACGCAGGCACGAGGGATAATGAAGGCACGAGGAAGTATGGGGATAAACAGACAGGCAAATCTGGAGATAAAAATGCAGGCAAAAGTGCGTCCGACAAGAACAAAAACGTGTGCGACAAACATGCGACTGAGAAGAGTGGCGGAGATAAAAGACAAGGCGAAAAATATGCCCCATGCCGGAAGGAGCAGGATGGCGGTGAGTACTTATCGGATTCTAGCGATTCGAAAGAACGACGACGAAACAGAGGCCGAGTCGCGAAGGTGGACCTAAGCGGACTGATTGACGAGGGAGGGTATATTGACGTGGAGGCGACCATGGCTTTGGCCAAGGTCCTCAAGAGGCTGCAGAAGGTCGGTGACGAGCAACGCTTCCAGGTCCTGAAGTTCGAGAAAGATCGGAAAAATAAACTTGAGAGTGAATATAACATCAAAGTACGAGCTACAGTAGAGCCCTAACTTGCGAGTGGACCCTAAGTGGATCGACTCCTGCCTTTACCAACCCGTTGCCATAAAGACCCCTTGCATCACCGACCCCTTCCTTGGCTTACCGACTCCTGGCTGAGGGGGATCTGCCTGAGGGGGACGTGGAGTCCTGGCCGGCCAGTGGTAATAGCCACTGGTCGGTCAGGGCCCCAGGAGGAGGAGTTTGATAGTGGTCGAGGAGAGGTTTGGTAGCGTAGTTCGACGGTAGTCAATTCCTTCATGACGATTAGTCGGAGCTGGCGGCGAAGGTTTGGAGCCGTTCGATAAGCTCGTCCTTGCGACCGGATACGGGCAGGCCGGCCTGTTGCAGGAGAATTTTGAGTTCAGTGACCTTTTGACTGCGGAGATTGGCTGCAGCAATGTCCTCCTTGAGCTTCGTTAAAGCGGCCGGGTTAGTAGCATTGCTTCTCTTGGTGGAAGTTCGAGAAGAGGCTGTGCCCCGCTTGGTGCCTGTGGTTCGTCCCAAGGCCAGGAGTGCGTGTAAGTCCTTAGCAGCCTGCCATACCTCATCCGGGACCATATTTTCGTTAGCGAGCTGGTCATCGCTGCGTTCCGTTCTCTGTTCCGTTCCCTGTTCCGTTCCCCGTTCCGTTCCCCGTTCGTCCTGAGACGGGTCGTCTGTGACGGGTGGTCTTTTATGCAATCTGGGCAGAGACTCATCAACCCAGTCCGGAGCCATATCGGCTTCACTTAAAGCCAGTGTCTCCAATCCTGCCCAGAATTTGGTAAGGACTGGGTTCCGTATTTTTTGTGGATTCCAATCTTGTGGGGCAGTTAGATTTTCTAGCACGTACTTCATTTTAGTTTCCACTTGGTCTTTTAATTCGTGATCTCGAACATCTTCCGTGTCATGATTATGGGTTTGGGAGTGAAGACCATACTGGTGGAGTAGGTGTGGGTTGTAGTCTGCGTATGTCCACGGCATCCGTAAGTCATCGATGTATGGTATTGCCAGAAGGTATAGGCCTGGAGTGCTTGCGGGAGCGAGGTAGGGAACGGCACAGTAAAACTTAGGCGACGAGTTGTCCCGGAATTGCCAGGAGATCAATCCGTAAACATTTTTTAAAGTCATAGCTTCGATTAAGGAGTCAAGAAACAGACGACTTCCCTCCACCAACTCATCAGAGGCATATATGAAATGGATACTGTCGCCGACACAGTATCTATAGCGCTGATACTCGTCAATAAAACCTTCTAACCGCATCCTAGCTGTTCTTGATAAAGCTATATCAGCGGAACTACCGCTGTATGTCGCTGCTCCACTATCACCCGCCCGATCCGTGGCTGAATCTTGTTCCGTTCTTTCTTTTGCTTGTTTAGCCACGCCCTCTGTAGCTATGTCTTCTGTGGTGGATGTCACATGTCCTTTTAGCCTCCTCAAATCGCTCCCCGAGAATTCAACTATGTTTCCATCACCCAAATCATAATATGAAACCAGCTCCTGTTTTGCCAATGACTGACCTGTCGTCGTCTGTAAGTACTTTGTCTCAGTCTTAATCGGCTTGTGGTCACTCGCTCTTAGCTTTATAGGCGTAGGCTTCTTAGCCGACATGACAACGACAAACACATTTATTCCAACATACAAATCCTTCTGCAAGATCAACCGTGTCTTCTGGAAGGTTCTTTGTCTCTTCATCCGATTGTCCAATGACATAAACAATGACTGAATCCGGCTTGCGTCCTCCTGAATTACTAAAACACGTCTATTGAACACACAGTTTTATCGAACCAGTCTGAACTAGAACTCTACCGCACACGTGTGCCGCACAAGTGTGCCGCACAAGTGTGCAGTAGAGTTCTAGAGGCCATTGAGTTCTAGAGGCCATTGAATTCTAGAGGCCATTGAATTCTAGAGGCCAAGAGGTAATTGAGCGGAAAGTACTATGGGTGTTTCGTTACTTCGTTTAAGCGCGTTATCGTCAAGTTCGCAGCCTGCATCTTCGGTATCTTGCTTTTGCTTAAGAGAGAAGGAATCTTTGACTATAGGAAACCAGTATTTATCCCAGTCGAAACTGTTGTTGAGTGAAAGGAGATCTATTAGACATCCATTTCTCAAAAGGTCTCTGGCAAGTTGCAAGCTGACCTGAGTATCTGACTGTATAAAATGGCATGGATCATCCCTGTTGCTCAGTATAACTACTCTTCTGGAAAATTTGTTAGCAGGACCTCTGACCTTGAATTCTCTAAGACAGAATCTGAATAAATGACTTAGAGGCACAGCGGAACGTCTCATATTTTGCGCCGTTTTGTATTTGCTCTTGAAATCGTCAACAGACATTTGCTGTAATTCCCTCAATTGATTTATCAAATCTGCACCCGGTACAGACAATATATTAAGCTCAGTAATACCACTAATATTAAACTCATTTGCACTTAATTCAGAACCAAACAATACTATTGACATCCTATCTTGAACACTCTGACATACTCTAGAACGTACGAAAGATTCTAAAGTATTGAAGAATTCATCCATACCCATCATCGACAAACCAAAGTCATGACAATCTATACACACGATTATCGCCTGGATCCAAGGCTTCTGTCGATACATAACTGTATCATCTTCACCACCAGCTACCTTGAAATCCAACTCATCATCCCAGCTGACATCCAACAAACTCGGATCAAATGCTTCCATATTTGTGTGCAAACAATCGTACGATATTTTATATACCCCCCCCCAACCAGTTCTGGACTACCCCTCCAGTTTTGGACCCACTTAAAGACCATCAGTTTTGATCTGTTGGTGGTTCTTGCTACCCAAAAAAAAAAAAGATCTGTGAGTTTAGATCGCAGACAGACGATCTGTGAGTTTAGAAATGCATCATTGAGACACGGCACGCTTGTTGGCGGGACTCCAGTGAATCACGTGGTGCGCAGCGGCTCTAATACATCTATCTAGCACTCCTTGGTTGGTATGACAGTCATTCATGGTGGTGCATATGTACAGACGCTCCGGGACCTTCATGTCCTCGATCTCATGGAAGGTCGCAAACAAATCGTGGGTTGCATCACAAAGACACTTCCAATATAAACAGCTGGACTTCAAGAAGCCAAATCGGTTTGCAGAGAGATCAATAACAGCACTTCTTGAAAGCGGCAATGGCAGCAACCGCTCCAAGTCAGCAGAATCGTAGTGCAGCGTCTCTCGTTCTTCACAACCAGCCTCTGTATCAATCAAGCCTTTCTCAGCGTCGTTCAATATAATTAAACAAGTCGGTATCGAAGGTGAATAATGCACTAAACATTGTCCAGGTGACGAAGACGCAAAATCACACTCAGCAGCGACTACGGCATCCTTAGGGGCAGACGGCTCGATCGGTATGATCTTATCATGTACGGGGATACCCGGAGCCGCTTGCTGCAATTGATCTCTGGATATGGCACCAGGACGCAATATGTGGATACTGTCTTCTTCCACGGAAATCACCACAGACTCTATGCCAATGGTGCAAGCATCTGAATCGCAGTCAATTAACATCAAGTCTTCGTTGACAAAGTACTTAGCGACGTGGTCTGCTCTGGTCGGGCTGATACGACTGAAAAGGTTGGCGGACGGTGCGGCTATCGGGACCCTGGCTGCGGCTATCAAACGCCTCGCCACCGGGTGGGCGGGGCACCTTACCGCTACCTTTCCTGTTCCGGCCGTCACCTCAGAGGGGACCTGGCTGTTGGCCTTGGCCACTATGGTCAACGGCCCAGGCCAAAATGCTTCCTGCAAACCCGCTATCACCCTCCGCAACGGTAATGCCAGGTCCCACAACTCCACGGCGTCTTGGAAATCAATCACGTGCAAAATTACTGGATCATCTGCCGGACGACGTTTCATCTCATAAATACTCTTCACTGCCTCCACGTCCAGTCCGTTCCCACCCAACCCGTACACCGTCTCCGTAGGAAACGCGACTAACTTTCCTTCTCGAATTCGCCGGCCTGCCTCCTCGTACACCGCCGGAGCATCGTCCTCCATCTCCACCCGAAAGCGCTCCATTTTTTTCCGCCACCACTCGACAGCGTTATTAATTCGACCAGAATAATCACAAACCGCGCAGTCACCTTCAGAACCATAAGATCTGCAACTACCAGCGATAATTCCGGCAAGTGGTAACTACCCTTATGTGAATCTCGCACTGCCACGCCAACGAGATATCCCAGCCCCCTTCATGACATTTCGGAGGCAAGCCTGAAAAAGGCGATACATTTTTCTGCCCGGGGTACATCGATGAGGATAATTTTTCACCGCTGCCTCAGAGACAACACATGCACTGTTGGGTGTCACGGAAAGCATTCCAGGATCTTCTGATGCCTGCGAGACATTTTTATAATTGTGTGCACACGCGTGTGCAAGGGGGTAATATCGGAGCGGTGGGAAAAGAATGCGGAATACTGCGATTTCCCTCATATCGCCGGGATCTCGGGCGATGGATCTGCCGTCCCGTTCCACCGCAATGTCTTCCGCCGGCGTTTCACAACGAGCGGTTCCCCGCTGGGGTCTTCGTCGGGTCCTCGGATCCCCGATGCCTTGCCTGGACGGGACAGCGTACTTTGATAAGTTAATATCTCGCTCAAGTCCCTCTACCCCTGCCGCGGCGGGTGCTACGACGGGTGGCAAGAACAAAGGGGGATCGAAGGAGAATACATTTGACATTACCCCTTCCACGAATAGTAGCACAAAATTAGATAGACAAAGATCCTCCATTTGGTCATCATCATCTTCCTCGTACCACGACCTCGGACAATTAGGATCAGGGACATATGGAGTAGTTTACAGGGCCTCCAGTGCCAAGGGAATGGTTGCATTGAAAATCTCGCGCATTGACGATGACCCACAGTCTGGATTACCGGAAACGACCATAAGAGAGGTTGTTTTGCTCAAGGAACTCTCCGGGCACCCGAACATTCTTACGTTTTATGACGTCAGCTGCTCCTCGCAGCAAGAGCAGCTATGTATAGTGACCGAGCTCCTCGACATGGACTTGAGAGCATTCATCAAAAGGCAAAAACCAGGAGGAGGGCTACCTCTATCACAAGTTAAGACTATCGCAATCGCAATACTAAATGGAATAGCGCACTGCCACTCTAACGGCGTTATGCATCGCGATCTCAAACCAGTACGATAATCCCTACACACCTTTCCCCCAGACACATACTCTCCCCAGGCAATTTATCCCTAAGTCTATGTTCCCCCTAAGTCTATGTTCCCTAAGCAATGTATCCCAAGTCATGAATGCATTATGACATACATAAAATCGCTTGGCCAATATCTCTTATACGTAGCACAATATTCTCTTGAGTGAGGATTTGAGGCGAATCAAAATAGGTGATTTCGGGCTGGCTCGTTACAACCATGACCCGTCTAGGACTCTGACTCACGAAGTCGTAACCTTGTGGTACCGTCCCCCAGAGGTGCTATTGGGAGATTGCCGTTACGACCGGTCGGTGGATTTGTGGTCTTGCGGGTGCATTATAGCCGAAATGCTGACAGGCAGACCGCTGTTTCCGGGTGATAGTGAGATCGACACGCTGTTTAAGATCTTCCTAGCATTGGGCACACCCTCCAAGACGGAGTGGCCGCAGAATGCGCTTGAGGCCCACGAAAACTTTCCCCGGTTCCGCGGGAAGGGCCTCCCCCTCCCCCGCGACGCGGAAGCCTTCCTGGCAACCATGCTTCAGACAAACCCCGCCAAGCGCTGCACCGCGGCGCAGTGCCTGGAACACCCCTGGCTCTACTCTTAACCGTCGCTCCCCCAATGCTAGCTAACACCCAAAGCGATGGAGAGATGCCCTCCGGACATGGGAGCGGAGGAGGATGCCTCTGGGGAGAATGCCAGTGGAGAGAATGTCAGCGGAGACAACGCCCATGTATATTGGAATAAGAGTGCCCTGCCTGCGTTGTTGAGGACGGGAAAAATTTAGAAGTTGAGGGGCTTGCGGAGGAAGACGAGGTCTCTGGTGGCCTTGGCGGCCTCGGCGGGCGAGCAGAACTTGGCCTTGAGCGCCTTAGCGATTTCACGGCGGACGGCGGCCTTCTCAGCGCGCGTTTCGATCTTCTTGTCGCCGATGAGCGTCTTAGCGTCGACCTCACCGGCCACGACGTAGCGCGTGGGCATGAGATGAGAGTAGTTGATGTGCTTGAGGAAGACGCGGATTTCCGTGCGCCTTTCAACCTGTGCCGCGTTCATCTTCTTGGTGATCTTTTTCGGGGGCTGCTCAATGCCTACCACGAGCGCATGTCCGAACGACCGCTGGCGGTTACCATTGTCGTACGCGGATAGCACGACGCACTTCTTGCCAGCCATGCGGCCCGCAAGCACGATGCACACGCGACCGTTCTTAAAACTACGACCACGGCAATAACAACGGGACCACGTGGGGGACCAAGTGCCACCATCGGGGTGCAGGGCCCGATGGTGGCGGGGTGGGGCGATGTGCAGGCTGGGACAAAGTGCAGGCTGGGACAAACTGCGGACAGCTGGTCGTGAGCGGACCGGCGGGCCGAGTAATGGCTGGGCAGAGGCAGCGAATGCGAAGAGGCACCTGAGCCTGGGTCCGGACAGTGCGTCTGGCATGGCATGAGGGGAAGTGTCAGGGGCTAAAATGGTTCCTTACACTTTGCTGACGTTGGTAGGGGCCATTATGAGAAAGGGCACGAACCTTTTTTGGGCAGAGTTTGTTGAAAAAAGCGGCGTTTTGTCTCATGCCATTTGGTTGAGCTTGGCGAAAAGGACTCTATGGTACATGCCGGCCTGGAGGGACTTGTTGATGGTGGTGTTGACGGCGTTGTAGCAGGACTTGCGTGCGGCCTTGCGACAGGTGGTGGAGACGGCGCGGTTGGCGGGGCGGCCGTAGTACTCGATGGGGGCGGTGACGACAGTGGAGAGCGCACCGGCGGCGGCGGCCTTGGCGGCTGCGAGAAGCACGTTGGTGGTGCGGTCCACGTTCTTTTCCTCGACGGGCAGGGTGCCGGTCTTGGAGGCGTCCTTGCCGGCAGTTTTGCCAGCAGTGCCGCAGGTCTTGCCGGCAGCGCCGCTGGCCTTGCCGGCAGTGCCGCTGGCCTTACCGGCAGTGCCGCTGGTCTTGCAGGCAGTGCCGCTGGTCTTGCCGGCAGTGCCGCTGGTCTTGCCGGCAGTGCCGCTGGTCTTGCCGGCAGTGCCGCTGGTCTTGCCGGCGGACTTGCCATCGGCGCCGGGCTTGTTTCCCTGGACGGCAGCCAAAGCGGCGGGGAGCGAGCAGCTGCAGAGACTCGCCGACAGGGACCTAAAGAGTCCGTATTGGTAAACTTGGTGGACACTCGCACGTAACGCAGGTCGGTATTTGAGCAGACTCTTGGCGAAGTAGTCCGAGCTAATCACATACGAAGCGGTAAAGACGCACTCCTTAAAACACTGACGCTGGAACCCTCGGTACAAAGCTCGCGTACTTGCTTCTTTACGAGACGACCCTTCGGTCAGTCTCTGGTACGGAACGATGACTGTCAACGTCAACGCGCGCCTAAAACAAAGCATCTGTGACCAGCATGTATGTGCCCAGCGTGAATGTCTCGCCAGCCTCCGGTGGTCAGAGGAGCTTACGCGAGTACTCCCACAGTTGCCTTTGAAAACGTGTTGCCGATTGGGTCCTTGACGTTAAAAAGGTCTTCCGCAACTTGTGAAATGCGGTCCACATTGGCGCCAAAGATCTCGTCGTCCAAAATCTTGTTGAAACATTGCCTCGGCCAGCCGGAAAGCAACTTCACGCTCTTATTCGCTCTCCGCATCTGCAGGGCAGCCGTGAAAGCGGCGACCGCGCACTCCCCGTATTGCCGCCGCAAGATTGGGAAGTGTATGAGATGGGGACAACGTACCGGGACAACGTACCGGGACAACGTACCGGGACAATGCGGTCAGATAGGATGCGTTTGGGAAATGTGTTGCATTAAGTGAAGAAGTACTTTGAGGGTATCGAGGGGTCTGAAGATCGCCATGGTGATGCAGTGACTGAAGGTCCCTAAACGGGCTTCTTCCTTCATTGAGAGTGCCTGAGCCATGTTTTGAAATATTTAATGACGCTCTATTCAGGTTCTGAGTTGCTAGGTAAGGAGCGCCTGTCTCGATTAGTAGCGAAGGAGAAGAAGCAGCCAGAGTTGAAGGGGCGTAGTAGGTCTGAGCGGTTGCTGGATGAGAGTCTTAAAACAATAAAGGGAAGGCTGCCACAAGATTCCAGGATCTCGTCGGCTGCCTATACCGTGGCCCAAACCATCGCACGAAGGCCACAAGACCCCAGAGCGGCAACAGGTCCGATTCTGGGAGGCGTTCCCCTCAAAGGTACGCCCGCGATAGGTCGGGAAGGTTCGTCGCTAAAAAGGCCAGGCGCCCCGGTGACAGCAAGGGACACATTGATTCTATTGGTAAGACGACTATCGCTGAAGGAAAAGCTTCCTCGTACGTTTGAGTTGTTCGAGCGCTTCTTCAGCAAGGGAGACGGCTCCGTCCTTGTAGAACAGTGGCGATTTGCGGTTGAATGTAGCGCCATGGAGCCGAGCAAAACACCGGACGCGCCAGGACGTAGTGAGTGGGTAATATTTTGGATGCTGTGGAACTGGTCGCAGTCACAGCTGGTAAAGAATTCAGGAGATGTACGTTTGACGCTGTTGCACCTGATGGAAAAGCACTTCCAACCTCCTGGTGGCTGGTCGGCTGACTCTCAGGAAAGTCCGGCAAAGAAAAGTTGGGAACGGCCGGGTATCGGGTCGCTGAGCCAAATGCCCATGAGCCAGATCCCCCTAACGCTCTACGGCATGGTAGGACGCCGACTGCTTCACATGATCTGGCTCCCGTTGGTCGTCACGCCGTACCTCTACTCCGACGATTTCCACTCCTTCCACAGGTCAGTGGACTGGCTGCGACAGGCGGTTCTGGAACTGCCGGAAAGCGTTGGTAAAGAGCTGCAGGCATTCTACGACCAACAGGAAGTTCATGGCCAACAGGAAGTTTGTGGCCAACAGGAAGTTCGTGGCCAGCGGCAAGCTGGTGATCCGGATATGTGGAAAGTGCCAAGCGAATCCCAGTTGATGTTCCAGTACCACCGGTGGGTATTTGAGGGTCTGGAAAAGCTGTACGAGATGCGCCGGACCCCTTGGGGGTTGGCGGATGCTCGCCTGTTGATTGGCGACCTATATAGGAACCATCTAGGTCGCTTTGTTACCGTTCAACGCGAAAAAATAGAGGCTTGGCAAGCCGCGCTCGTTTCTGCCACCCATGCCCCTCACAAGCCCGCACCTGCCATCGTGGCGCCGGGCCAGGCCGACCGGCCCGTGGTGGACACGCGCGTCGAACAGGTCACCGCCCTCGACGGCAGCGGCGCCTGGGCAAACAGGCACCTATATACCTAAACCTGTTTGTCGGTCTATGAACCTGTTTGTGGGTACCTAAACCGTACATGCCGTACTTTACCCGCCTGAGTACTTACCTCGCTCCGTCTTGGTGTTCCGCGTTGGTGCTCCGTCGGGGCAGAAAGAGGGAGGGGTCCCGAGGAAGGGAAGAAAGAAAAACCACGCTCCAGATGGAGGAGATTTGGACGTAAGCGCCGCTGGGGCCAGAAGAAGAAACGGTCGTGGGTGAATACAGTCATCCTTCGGAACAACTTCGCGCAGATCTTTTGGACAAATCACTACACCGGCGGAGCCGTAGCACTGCGTGGCTCGTCAGAGTGACATCGCTGCCTAGCTTGGTCCCCGTTCGCGTTCGCTTGGTCCCCGTTCGCGTTCGCTTAGTCCCCGTTCGCTTGTCGTCAATGAAGGGGACGGCAATAAGACTGAGCAGGCGCTAGCAAAGAAGCATGTCCGACTCAAGGAGGGACTTCGGCTTGGATTCGGGGCTGTTGGGTTGGGTCGCAGTGTTTTTAGCGAGGTGTGGTGGAACGAGATCTTGTATCGCTTGATGGAGGATTTCTTTGACGCTCTTATTGATCAGGTGATTGTTTCGGAGGCTGGTGGAGCTGCCTAGTCGGTTATACCAGTCTTGCTGTTTCATGAGTTCAGGTAGGTCGTAACTGAAGCCCCTGATGTGTAGTCTGGGAATGCGGAGTTCAGCCATGAGGTCTCGTACATGTATATCGAGTCTGAATGCCTCCGCGAGGTTGTGTACATGCAACAGGAGTGTGTCTGAGAGTACCTGTCGTCTGGCGGCGACCAAGTCTTCCACTTTGCCGGACTTGGCCAAGAACGTGCGAATCCTGTTGACGACTAGTGGGCCCAGTGAGACGTCATAGGACCAGCCATAGTAGCTGCGGGGACAGCTGCAAGTCTGCGCGGCGGAACAACAACTGTTAGAACACGGAGTACCCTCATGACTGCGAGCGCATGGGCAGCCTTTGCTGCCGCCGCCGTTATTAACGCCGCCGTTAACAGGGTAATCGGTCTTGTGCATGAGTTCTGTGTGCAGCAATCCTTCCTCCTCCATGATGGCATGGAGTACTCGGTCGACCAGCTCGTCAGCTTGTTTTCTAACCTCCCGTAATTTGAGTTGTTGATAGACATCGATTTCCTGCGCGCCTGCAAGAATGTCTTTTTGTTTACTCTTGGCGTCCTTGAGTACTTGGATGATTTCCTTGACTACAGCTTCATTATGGTTGGCTATAAGAGAGCGGATGGCGGGTGCATTGGCTGAGGGTGAGCCCAGAAAGTCTAGCTCTTCCAATAACGGGTGATTTTTCGGTATCTCCGTTACAGCCGTCGGCCGTAGTGGGCGCCACTTGAGGAGCGGCTCACGCTCCTTCTCCAGCTGTCTGAGGTCCTGCAGACTGTGGTGCAGTTGACTGTGCTCCTTTCGAAGCAGTAGCACACGCGTGCGCTGACGGTCTGCATTCTCGCCCGGATCCAAATCCACATACTTTGGCGCCACTTCCGCCGCCGCCTGCTCAACCCGGGCTTGCGCCTTCGCTGCCTCCACCTCCTGCTGCTTCTTCTGCCGTCCCAGAAAATCCTGATACAGCCTCTCGTAAATGCTGGTGCGCAACACACCCGTTCCCGTTGCTGAAATTGAGCGCGCTGCGCCCACCTGCTCACCCCCAGAAGCAGGACCCCCAGGAGCAGGACCCCCAGATGCAGGACCCACGGGCGATCCTACTGCCATGAAACTGGCTCCCGCTGGCAGCTTGGTCGCCGCCTGACTCTTCGACTTCTTCGACAATAGTTCTTCTTCCCACCAACTCTTCGCCACAATGTCCCATTTCGCTACCATGATGGTGCACCCGCAGGTGCAGTCGCAATCAACCCTCAAAACACACGCAAACGTAAACGGCTTCCAAGTGGCGGGTTCGAGTCCAGACTTCTGCCCGGAAGAATCGCGCGCGGTCTACGACGACTACAGATTAACTTACTTTGATGTGTGAACATCCCACTGACCAAACGCCATGACAGCTGAGCGGGACATGATCTCCGGTCATGTGCGTTACTTTTCTCACTTTACATTGATGTATCGGATTTGAAACCCCCCCCCCCCCC